CACTCTTTCAAACAGAAAGGTTTCAAAGGTAGACGAGTAGAGGGAACAATGTGGGAAAGAGACTGATAATAAGAACTTTGCTGTAGCTGCTCTTTTATTTTCATTAGCTGTCAGAATTACACCTTTGTTTTGATTGCAGTGAAGCAACAGCATAAGAAGCTGCTATTGACAGAAATGGCATCTTATATTCTGATTTTACTTCTAGGTAGTTTTTTTTCAGTACCTCAATTTTTTGGCTTAGAGTTTCTAATGTTATCTCTCAACATATAAAAATACATCCATTATATGAATGGATGAGTATGGATCTTGCTGATTATGTGAAAGATTTTTTTTTTTTAATCTCCTATCCTTCGTATGTTAGCCTACATCATTAAAAATTTACTTTTTGCCCTTTAATAACTGGTTCTCCTTTTGCTTTTTTGCTAGGTCAATGGCAGAGACTTGAAGGATTTGCGGCACAAGGATGCTGTGGAACTGTTCAGGAGTGCTGGCTATGACGTGTCCCTGAAAATTCAGCGCAGGGTATGTTTTACCCATTTCTCAGGGTAATTTCTTGCTCAGTTTAGACTGGTTTCTATGATTGATAGCTCTCTGTTCATGAGGCAGAAAAATACTGTGTTCCAAGTGTTCAGTGTGAATTATGCATATAAAGATTTTGTTTGAACTGTGGCCTTCTCTAGTTGATCACAGCTGTAATCATCTGTGCATTACTTGTTTGTAACAGTATCAGTGAAGAGCTGAGTTTGGAGAAGTCCCAGGGTCTTTGTTTTGCTGAAGTATGATGTGTTTTCTCACAGATCTCCTTTCTTGGAGGCAAAGGTTTTTCTGTGAAGACAGAATCTCAGGTTCTCCAGTTTTGTTTCAGAGGCTGAAATCTTACTGGAGACAAAACTCCCCTGTTGTTTCAAAGGTCATCACTCATGTTAATCCTGAGAAGTGTGTGCAGCTCACCACAAAGGAACAAATGTGGGCTGCTATAGTTCAAATATTCTAGCACCTTTTTGGCTATAGAAAGAGAGGAATCCCTAATCCACTGTGGTCACTTGAACATCCCTGGCTAGCACTGAAGTTGATGAAGGAAACCTGAGCGGCCTGATGCATTGGTGGTGGGAAGAGGTGGGTTAAGGTCCCTTTTCTACTCCCTTAATAAAAGGAGTAAATCTTCTGGACCAGTGTACAGGGCAGATAAGGGGGAAAAAAATTAAAAAATTAGTGATATCCTTTGACTGGTAAAGACACCAAGAAATGGCATGGTGGGAAGTGCATCAATGGATGACTGGGTATGTGTGTTATTGCTTCTGCTCTGTGAGATGTACCCTGCTCCTGCTGTTACAGTCCTAGTTTACGAAGTAGCAGAGAAACATGAGGGTGTCAGGTAGTGACTGGGTACCTTGCAGTAATGCTCAGTCCATCCAAAGCCATTCTAACCCTCCCAAGTGTGGAGTGTACAGGTACCTGGGGAAACCATATTGCACATCCTTACAGAACCACCTGGTCCTGACACAGAACTGGGGACTCTCCTGTGATGGGCTCTGACACAAATACTTTTTTTCCCTTGTAGTTGCAGCCACAAAATGGCCCTGTGGGTCATCGAGGCGATGGAGAATCAGGTGGGCTTCCTCTAGCAGCCATTCTTGTGCCAGGCCTGGCACTTGCTGCAGCAGCAGTTTGGATCTTGCTGAGGTATCGACAGCGGATGTGAAGAGTTCATGTTTTGGATATCACTGCATATTTTACACAGCTATGATGTAATTTAAGGATAGAGAATCAACGATCTTACACGGACTGATGTAAAAAAGGATTATTGCCTATTATAAAGCTGCTGCTGCTGCTCTTTTTATATCTATTTTGTTGGAGGGTGGATGGAAGCAGAGAGGAAAAGAGGAAGGGAGATGACTGATGTATAGAGGGGGATAGCTCTGTTTTTGATGAATCTGAGGAGTTTTTGCCATCCCCCTCTATTTTGCACCATGAACTTTCAGACACATCTGTGCCATGTTTTAAGATGTGACTTTTGGTTAAAGGGGTGGAGGTTGGGGTGGTTTTAAATCACAAACATTTACTAGAGGCTTTGTCTTGTTTCCACTGAGTTTTTCTTGAAAAAAATGATCCCTGTCAGGACCATGAATAAAGAGAAGCAATATGGAAGATATATTATTTTTTCCATTGAATTTTTGTTGGTTGTTGTTAAATAAATGCCTTAAGAAAAATGTATAAAACTGAACCTGTGGTTTCACAAGTAAAATCATCAGTGTAGCTGCTGATTTCACAGTAATATGCAATATTGATGAGGTATTCTACCAGTTCTGGAAAGACAGAAGATAGCCTGCTGCTAGAAAAAGACTTGGATTGTCAGAATGACTGCTGATTCTTGGGTCAGAGTTGTAACAGAAAGCTTTACCCAAAATGGAAATACTGGAGAGAGACAGGCAGACAACTGAATTGCAAGGGTAAGCAGAGGCAAGAGATCTGGGCATGCTGAAGCTTTAGAAGAGCCTTTAAATAAGTAATGAAGCAATAGTCCTTCCATCCGTGAAGTGGGTTGAATTCTGCATCAGGTTAAAAGTCTATTTAGGGGTTTATTTTTTGCATGGGGAGTACTTTAGATAAAGTTTTCTGTAGCAGCTAACTTGCTTTCTCCAGTCAGAAAATCTTATGATTGAAAGGGGAAGCCGAGAGCAGGCTGGGATCGTTCTGGCTATGCTATTGCTTATTTGTGAAGACTGATGTGATGTTCAGGGAGATAGACTGGCAGGTCTATCCAGGCTAAGGCTTAGCGAGTAAAACCAAAGAGAGAGACCGTTGCTCTGGAGAGCATGTTGCTGAATCTACCTGCAGGGTCTCATCTTCTCAATGTGATTTGCGTGGCTTTAAATGCCCCAGCTGACATGAGCTCTGTGGGGTAAGACTGTTTCTCTTGTCTCCAACTCTTGTCTCAATGTGTTTTGTTGTTTTTGTAAAAGCAAAGCAAAATGTGTGGTCTGGTCTGTATAATGGTTAAAAAAAAAAAAAATCATATATACAATATATGTTTTCAAACAAAGTAAAAACTGGTGTCTTGGTGCTTTACTTATCTCTGTTCTTTATTATTCTAGCAGGACATTGGTGATGTATTTGGAATTGCGTGTTTGCTGCAGGCTGTATTCCTGCCATCTGCTGGAGACAGGAATGGTATGCTGTTGTACATGACATTTCTAAATCACCATGGAGCTTCAGAGCACTTAGACACATGAAATCTTGCTTTGGCCTATTAACTGCTCTAGTGTGAGATGAAGAAGAAACAAGGAGGAATTTTGCTCAGTGTTTTTAGGGGACTTTGGGAACAGACTTGAGGTTTCTTGAACATATGTTGGTGTTGGATGGCCTGGACTGATGCATGCAGTGACTTGCCTTGGCCTGGAAACCAGTTATGCCTGATAGCCTAAGGACTGCTGTTTGAAACAGATCTTTGCAGATGCAGCATGAACCAGCTTGCTTGTCTGTAACCTCCTCTGACTATTTGGCAGTGGTGTCCATGTGGAGCACATGCATGTATTAAGATGGACGATTAGAGCTTCATGCTGTGGTATCCCAGCCATCAGAATAAAGATACATAGAGTAAGAAAAAGGTCTGTCTGGGACAAACCTCTTCTTAGCTCTTGGTTGAGTCAAGTTTCTGTTAGAGAGAGTATGTGGAACAGGCTAGGAGGATGAGGATTTGCAGAAGGGAGTGGCTAGTTTTACTCATTTCCTATTGAAGTGAGCAGAGAAAGCAAAGCCCTTGGGTGTTTTTGTATTTTTTTACCTTTCAGCTTTGCGATTTTGATACTGTTCAGACACGATAATTGGCTGTGTTGCATGCAGTTTAATACGGGGGAGGGTTATATCTAATGCCCAGATAATTGATGTGGTTTACTGAGCAAGAAAAGGCCCTTCTGGTGCATACTGTTCCTTTGGATTTCTTTTCACAATTACTGAATAATTTTAATACCACAGTATTAACTCAGTGGCTTTTCCAGAATTCTGAATAGTAGTTTTTACTCTGAATTTAAGCCTTCCAGTCTAACCCTTAGGAACACCTTTCTCTGTCTGCTGCCTTCAAACCAGTGTCTGAGGAGTAACAAACAATCCCTTTTCCAATCCCCGGCCACCTCTTGTCCCAATTATTGTCAAAACCCTTGTGGAAAATACATCTCAACCTCAAACTCTCTCGTGCCCTGTGGCTTGTATTACTTTCTCCCAGCAGCTGGACTGTCTCACCTAAACCTTGTGTGTTCTCCAAGGTGTTTTCCACCATGTGGTTTCTATAGCCTTGAGTTTCATCTTTACATTGAATGCTTTATATACATTATCTGTCGTTGTGGAAGAAGTGCATTAAAAAAAAAATCTAACAAGGACAGCTTGTAAATGAAAGTGATCAAAGAGAGTTTTAGCTTTTGTTACAACTTAAATCTCTGGGTTTTGAAAAAAGATAAGTTGAAATCTTGAAGACAAACATAAAAAGCATCCTAACTGTAATTTATAAGTTTGGGGTTTTTTAAGAACTTGTTTGCTATTAATACTGAGGGCAGCTGAAACTCTTAAATCCCCATATTTCTCTCCCATTCTCACCTGTTCCCTCAACATTTATTGTGAATTTACTGACCTGCTGAAGCCTGGATTTTCATATCCATAGTTTAAAGATAAACCCATCTAGTTTGATTTTGTGTATATTCTAGGCATTTGTGTCTCACAGAGTATCTTGAATTGTATCTGCTAATAATAGGTATTTGACTTAGGCATAACAGTAAGAGAGAGCAGCCAGATTTGATCTGAAGTTAGGAAGATGTAGTACTTCTGGGACTTTTTAATTAAAACAAACTAGAAAGAAGGGTGTGGGAGGGAAGTTGATTTCAGTTTGCCTTTAGGTTCCAACAACTGGTTTGTTAGGTTGTTCTGTGCTAGATTAAAGAGGCCTCTAATAACTGATAGTCCCTCCCTATGAGGGGATTTATGTGTTGTAATTGCCTTACCTCTCACATTATTTTTAAGAAATGAAGCCAACTGAGCCCTTTAAGATTCTCAGTGTAAGACACTTTCTCTCTTGGAGTAGTTTCTGTGGCTTCCTGCACCCTTTCCAGTGCTCCTGTGTTGCTTTGTAAAATGCAGACACCCCGGCCACGTGCAGAGGCTCACTATTGAGTTTACCAATGCCATGTACTAGAAGTTTTCCACATTGCTTTTATCTGCAAGCATTCCATCGCAGAAGCTAGCTAACTTGCGGGTCTGCTACTAGGGGAAGTACGGGGGGCAACCAACTTGTGAAGCGAGCAAGTACCACCCACACTGTGCTGCAGCAGCGGGCGTGGTAGCTCATGCAGCAGGGTGCCCAGGCTGTCACTCCTTGCTTGTTGACTTTTCTCCTATTGGAAGTGTCCCAGGCTGCATCTGACTATGGTCTCCTCCAGACAGAGGGCTTGTTGCAAAAAGATTGTGGTGACCCAGACAGAGGGCCTACCGTGAACGGTGGCTGTTCAGGTCTCTGGTTGCAGGGAGTGCCAGAGCCTGCAGCTGCTGGGGGAGGGAGGGAGGCATTCCACCTGCCTGAGGTGTGAGCAGGTGGCTGATCTGCTCAGCATGGTGGTGAAACTTAAGGAGGAGGTTGAGAGACTGAGGACCATCAGGGAGTGTGAGAAGGAGATTGACTGGTGGAGTAACTCCCTGGCATGCCAGTCAGAAATGCCACATGAGGATGCCCCCCAAAAGGTGATAGAACCTCCACCCTGTCAGGCAGAGGCAGGGAACCAAAAAGATAAGGCGGGTTGGAAGAAAGTCCCAGTTCAGCATCAT